TCCGCCACACTTGGATCCAAGCACAGAACAGCCTTGCAAACCTTGGAACCTGATCCTAGGCCGACGTTTGCCAATATTTGCCCCACCCCAGCCTTAGGTTCGGGTATATTATGCACAATATAGTCCCTGTTCAAAACCTGTGGTTGGCCTCCAAACTCGAACTCTTCAACCTGCTAGCACTCACCATGATGGTTCCTCTCGCAAAAACTGAATGCCGCGCCCAAAAGCTTTCATCCACAATCCAGAAGATTCATTTTTTCCCGGACATCGCCTTGGAACTGGTTCACATTGGTTCACCATGCCTTGAAAAGACTGCTTCCAGGAAGGCTCTTCCTCACACCGAACGCTGCGAAGCTGTCCGCCGAAACCGTCGCCGCCCGAGGCGTGGCATCGTCGCTTCGGTGCCCAAGTTGTCCGCCAACGGCCTAGAACCGACGGGTCAAAGGGGGGGGCCGCCTCCCAACGGGGCATCCGAAGACTAGGAACAGTCCCTGGGGCTCCTGGCCTTACGACCAGGAGCAAGGTTCGCTGCTAGGAACATGGTTTCTTTTTTTGAGAACTCTCCAGTGAACGCGGATCTTTTGGAAATCCCGGCCCACGGAGGCAAGGCAGATCCCACCCATCCTGCTAGTCTTTTGCCGGGGGGGGTTCATGTTGAAGGTAGGTGGTTTTGTCAGGTATTTGGCATATCTTAGATATCTTCCATCCATGTTCTGGGGTGAGTTCAATTTTTGGTGTTTTTGTCAAGATCTCGTTTGGGCTGCCACAGATGAGGCTAAATCCCAGAGTTTGCACAACCTTTCTCAGTGCTTTGTAACCCTCCCTGCAACTGGATGAATTAAAGGAATTGATGGCCTGCAGCAATCTTAGATCAACAGAGGGGCATCCAGCAGTTCAAAAAGACATCATACGGTAACTACCGTACCCAAACGGAAATCGTCGGGAAGTGACGTTTGAACATTTGGCCGGCATTCTAACCTTCAGTCGGGAGTGTAGATGATGGTAGATGATGAAGGTGTTCAGCAACCACCACCAGGCTGTGGTACCTTTTTGGTTGAATCAATACCCCAGCCTTTCGGAACCTTTCTTAAAAATTGTTGACCTGCTTAAAAAGACAAAATAAAATGGTAACACCCTTAAGTTAAACAATATGGTGGTGATGAAACGTGGTGTGACACTTCATGCAAAATCAATCATATGCGTCTCCATTTTCCTGGCGCGCCCTGTCACACACAGGGCGCTCAGCCAAAAAAAACCGGACGTGTTGGCGTGCTCGGAGGAACTGATCCCGGCTGAGGCACACGTGTTGTTGCATCTCTTGCTGCTTCGGGCAACAGGTGGCGAGACGCGCGTGCGAGCGTTCCTTCGGGTTGGCGAGAGTGGACCGGGGAGAGTGGACCGGATGGACCGGATGGTGCGGTTTGAGCCATTTGCATGGCTACACGCTGAAGTCCATCATGCAGATGGTAATCATGCGTCACATTGAATATTGTAATGTAAGATGATTTAGGTTCACACCGGCTTGGCTTGTGATGCTTATGTTTTCATCACACCGCTTGCTAATGTTGGTGCTTGGTCGTTTTGTGTTTGGCTTAGGCAATGCGCTCGGTCTGGTGCCGTTCGCGTTCGAGAGAGCTGCAAGGATTGCTGGGACATGATGCACTGCGCCCCATGTGCCACACAATGTTGGAGGCCGCATATGGGCATTGCTGGAAGAGTGGGGCACTTGCAGCTCACCAACCCAAGTCTTCAGAAGTTGGATTCCTTGTGGTCAGTGTCCGAAAAAAAGACCACGTACTGACACCTCATTATTCCATCTAAATCTAAAGTATTCAAGCTCCCCCTTCCAGCTGAGACACACGGTTCAATATCAGGCCATGGCGAGTCTCAGCAGCTCTTCATGTCAAGTGTGCATCAGTTATTTCTGTATTTGATGCGTCGTGTCAAACGCCAAGGCATTGCGCTATTGGATTGTGTCTTCGGTGTTGGCGTCATGTGCATGTGCGATAGCACGCGATGGTTTCAGTAGCATATACATACATGTCGGGCAATCGTGATAAGTATATAGACACACACATCAAACCCCACACTGAAAAGGATTTGGCATAGCATACCTGAATGAATGGTCACAGAATAGCAACCTTTCCAGCCCTTCAACTTGCCACCATACACTGTTCTGAATTAAATTAAGTTTGTCGTTTCACTGTAGGTGTTTTGCCTCAGAGGAACATCCGCTTGAAAGACCATGTTCTCACCTCCCAAATCCTGATTTTTTCCAACAGCAAGACGAGCTATTGGGGTTCTTACTTCAAGTATAAGAAGAGGCTTCGGAAGAGGTGCCTGTGTGCGGTTTGGAACGCTGCCAAAGCCTGGGCCTGGGTGCTGGAGGGGGGAGGATGCCCATGCCAGTGTGCTTGGATGCCACTGCAGGGCTCCGCCACGTCGAATGAAAAGCCAAAAAGCGCTGCCACGTGCTGCCCACGAGTATCTTGTGCTATCCGGGTCTATGGCGCGTTTTTTCCTGTAAAGCTCGTATCCCACTCCCAATTTGTCGCATCTCACTTCCCCCTCACCCCACCTCCGCCGCAATTGACCCGCGGAGAAAGAGTCTTGGTTTTGCGGACAGGGTTTAAGGCTTTGCTTTTCAACGGGTCAGAATCCTCTCATGTGGGGAAGAGTGAGGTGATTCCGACGACGAAAACCACCGACATCACGAGGCTTTGGAGTCCAGTGGCATCCAAGGTCCCAGCCACAAGGCGCCCGGGCGCCGCGTCCGGGTTTCCTCGAAACCGGACGGCGGAGGAGAGGATGGCGTGGGGGATCCGCGGTGTTGGGGGCCGGAGGGTTTGGGTGAAGAAAGAAGAGGGACAAAATCATAGGAAGATGCGGCAAAGAGATTGCAAGGGTAGTGTTCTGCTTGGTACATAAGTACGATGAAACGAGTAGCAGCAGCATGCAGCAGCAGGGCTTCCGACAGCAGAGAGTAGCAACAAAGTCAGTATGTATTGCTCAGTGTTTGCTTTCAGAAACTTTCAGAAATGATTGTCTCTTACGAGTCTTCAACTAACTCAGGGGACACCACGAACAGTTGGAGTAGCAGTAGGAGTTTGCTTGAAGTCAGTGGCGAGTCGGGCGAGTCGGTGGTGAGTCTTCTTGCTTTACCATCTCCTTCAGGTGCATGAGTCCGGCTATCGTGGCAGACAGCTGCCCAAAGAGGCCAGACAGCTGTTGGGCGAGTGAACCGCTGTTCAGCGAAGAGGTTGTGAGGAGGAAACAAGTAAGAATTAGGTGCCTCAAGGATCTTCAAGCCTGATTCATCAACTGACCAAATGATCTTCACTTCCACTTCTTACTGATCATCCTACTGATTCATCGACTCACCTGGCATGAAGATGATCAGTTTATCAGCAAATGACTCGTGTTTTCCAAACTCACCCGACGGATTTGCCGCTTTGGACGAGGCCCACACCGTGGCCAAAGTGCTGGTGAGGCCGCAAACATCATGGTTTTGTTGAGGGTGAGTGTGTGCTGTGAGTGTTACTTTTTCCAAATAGGATCTAATAGGATCTAATTGGTAAATCCCCTGAATTGATCGTAATATATCTTATTGGTATTTTTTCAGCTTTTCTCGGTTCCCTTCAGCACATCCAGGAAACTGCCGCAAACCATTCCAGCAATTCCAGCTTGCACATGGCCACTTCGCCAGGCTTGGTGGCTACCATGCCCCGGAGCCGCTCCGTCGCCCCTGGATCTACAGGACGGGGGGGAGCCTTCGTTCGTTCGTTCGGTCCTCGGGACGTCCTCGGGTTGTCGAACATCGGGCGATTCGAAACGGAGTTCTGGGAGGAAGCACATGTTTCGAAAGAATTGACCTCGAACATCGTTCCGCGTCCATCAGAATTCACACCAGAAACACCGGTTTTTTGATAGTGCACATGACTTCGTCTTGACTTGAACAAGCTGTGTCTCCGATGCAGGGCCAGTTCCAGGTGTTTTCCGCTTCACATGGGTCAGACAAAAGCCACACGAATCCAACGCACTGCCAGACTCGACCAGGTGACGCAGACTGGAATGCACTGGACTCGCTGCTGATCAGCGGATCGCTTCAACTGGACCCCTTGAGGTTCCCCCCAAAGGTTCTACTATAGTAATACATGACAACTTAGGGGACCAGCTTAGTTCAGGCGCAAAGAAGACCTTCTGTGCAAACCAAAGCGGCAAAGCTTTGTTTTCAACACCGCTTGCGGGATCCAGTCCTTTGATCCCAGTGACCAGCTTGCCGACTGGTCACCAGTGGGAACCCAAGCCAAAGACCAGAGGTATCCAGTTCCAAAGACCCACCAATTCTCACGGCTGAGATCCACCGGGATCTACAACCCGTTGGGTCTCTGAAGACCAGACCAGCCATCGACATCGACGGAGAGAGTCCAACGTCTTGTGGACTGTCCAACCAGCGACAGTCCGTGTTCCGAGTTCGATTCGCACGAGGCATGCAGCTCTGGGAGTACATTTGTTACTACCTTCATCCTGGAGCCTGGACGAGGGAGGCGTGGAGCTGCAATTCGCCCGATTCGCAGCACGTTGCGAGATGTCATGGCAACTAGTAGCGAACCTTGTTCCGTTCGTAGGTTTGGCCAGGAGCCCCGTTCGTAGCGTCCTAGTTGAACTTGGATCTTGGATCATTTATGAGATTTGATGTCCATGTTGTGAACCAGAAGAATTCCATGTGTTTCTTGTTCACAGCGGTACTTCTGTCGGCGCCCCCTTTTTGCGGAGACGCCGACGACCCAAATGTCCAGTGCTGTGAAGTGATGTCAGGACTTCAACTCGAAGAATAAGTGAGCCAAAGATGTTCGCATTCGTTTGAAAAAAGCGCGGTGAAGACAGAAAAGGACTGATAAGAGCGATCGGATGATCACCTGCAAGGAAGCGGACACGAGTAAGGAAAATCGAGTCATCATAAGTTCTGATTTGGATTTGTTTATTCAACAAAAAAACGAGAAAATTCTTGCACTTGAGGAACTTGCAGGTCTTAGGTCTTAGGTCGCACATGATGCTATTACTTGACGAATCTCAAAGATGTATGTCGCTGCATCATTTTGAGCCCAAGTCAGGGGGCTTCTATATAGATTTGATTCCTTCCAGGCTCATTTTCCCTGCCGGGTCTGTGTATGTCAGCGCGGCCACGATCCAGCTCTGCGAAGCAGACCTTACGATCCAGCCGCGGCTTTAACGACCGATCGAACAGAGCGCCGCCACGCCGAGTGGGTCGAGCAGAAACTCGAGATCTCGCCGAGCCAAGATCAGAGGCGCCGGCGCCAGCGGCTGCGCAGGCAGAAGTTCAACATGCACAAACTGAACCTCCGTGTCATCGTGAGATTTGCTCCATATGCTTGGAGGGGCTAGATGATCATAGCTTTAGCTATCCTTGTGGACAAGGGCATCGTTTACACTATGGATGTATGCTACACTTCTTGGCGAATGTTTTGTCTTTGCCTCTGGCAGATGGTAGCCCTGGTCCGTTGCTCAAAGAGAAGGCTCGAGACTTGGGCAGTGGCTTTAAAGCCATTGCGGTTTTGGAAGGAGAGGTGGGTTCCCTTTCATCTTGGTCTCAGTTTGATTGCAATGACAAACCCGCAAAGCCACCAGGTTACCCAAATATTTTTGTAAGGGATAAAGAAGTTGCTGCCAATTTGGTTTGGCCCCCGACCATTCCGCGACTTGAGTATACAGTATATGTATGTTGGCTCCTCGTTTCCATTTTCCGTGCGAGGAGCCCTTCATCAGATGACACCCGAAACTCAAGGCCGCCTTGCTTGTCCACTTTGCCGATGCCCGTGGCCAGACGAGCATCAGCTCTCCCTGGCAGAGGTTGTCTCGCAACTGCGCAATTGTCGACTACGTACGGTGGTGAAGCATTTTGGAAAATTGACCCATGCCTTGCAGGAGGTGAGACGCGTGAAAAGTTTGTTGTCAGAGATGCTGTCAACGAGCTTGAACAGCTTCGTTTTTTTTAGACCGATGTGTTTTTCCCAAATGCGTAGCGAAGGGTATCGTTTAACTTTGGGGGTCTGGGGATAGACTCTTGTTCGCGAGTGTTTGTTGTAGCGTTCGCAACCGTCCGCAACCGGTCCCCGCCGTCCACGGTAGGTCGCTATGGCGCTGACATTAGGCTTTCGGAGAAGGTCTTGAATGGAAGCAAGACGTGTCAGATTCGTGTGAAATAGCGAGGAGATATGTGGGAATGCAACAGGTTGAATGGAGGATTTTGCTGCGCAGGCGCGGCGTTTTGTGAGATCCTCAGTTTCCTTCGCTGTGAGTGTGGGATTGGCGTTTGGAGGGCGGTATGTTTGAGGTGTTGGATTTGGCTGTGACATTGGGATTTGCGTTTCAATCTGTTGCTTCGAAGCTGCGTTTTTGGTGAGAAGTCTCAGCTAAAGTGGCGACTTCGGTGCATTCCAAACGTGTGGTGTGGACTTTTCGTGGCAGGCGCAGTACTTTGTGCGTGTTGGAGGTTGCGACGGTTGGTGGAGGTGAATGTCGCTGTGACAGTGGGATTGGTGTATCAGCGGGTGTCGTTTTTGACGGGCTGCCCTCCCTAGCGTTTCGAAAGCACAACAAAAACAAGGAGATAAACAATGTTCTTTTTTTGGGGGGGGCAGGTTATATGTTTAATTGGAGTGTTTGGGGTGCCCTCCATACTTTTGAAGCGCATCATGTCATGAGTATACCCACGTAGAATCTTGGGGCTCATACTGCTTGAAAGGCTGGTGAAGATGCCTGGCCCGATGCGCCCTTGCAAGAGTTCATGTTCTACTTGAGGGTTCTGTTGCCAGAAAAAAACTTGAAGACTGGAGCAAAATGACTTGATCCGGACACAAAGGTGATAAGTGTGGAACTGCAACTTTGATCACAGCTCGCAGGAAACAAATGTAGCAGAAATTCCTGGAATTTCCCGGAGAGAAAACTTGACAATGAAGGGCAATGAAGGGGTAAGCCAAGCTTCATAGCCTGGCCGGGACCGGCTTGAGAGATCAATGTACTTGAAGACTTCATTGGGCGCTTCAATGCAAAGGAACATGTGCACAAGAAAGCTTGAGGTGGAAACGTGGCAGTGATTGACTTCAACGCGTCCTTCACGGTCTTCCTTTTTTGGTAAATGTGTTTTCTTTCCATGTTTGTTGCCTTGTCATGAAAAACCTTCGTTCCATTTTTGCGACATGGAGGTTCTAGGTCTTCACTTTGGAAGGAAGTCTCGTATTGAAGGCTCGTGTTGGAGAGTTTGACGCGTGACTTTGGGAGGAAGTCTCGTGGCGTCATGACTGGCAACTTTTAGTGCATATGTAGCGGTTTCTGGGAGCTGTGGCCTCAGAACTGTGCGGGAAGCAGCTTCTGTGTTACATTCTGGGAGCTGTGGCTTCAGAACTTGCCACTTGGTAGTTAGTACGGGAAGCAGTTTTTTTGCCTCAGAACTGAATGTAGTGCGGGAAGCAAGTTCTGCCAGCTGTGGCCTTGCGTTTGTGCGAGTCCGTGCCACTGGGGGAAGGAAAACAAGCTGGTGTAAATTCACATGCCTGGCGATTGGCGTGTGATTGTCTCATTTCCAACCGTGTAGAGTGAATATGAGTGAAGATACTATACGCATGTGGTGGCAAGGTCCCCCATGCAAGATACGGCGATGCATCTTATGAGCGAGTTAGATAGATCGAAAGGTTACTTGTCGAAGGTGTGTGCATGTGGGTTTGTGGGTTCCATCTTGTTTTCTCTGGTCACTGGACTCAAGCTAAGAGCCAAAAATGACATGCGCCTTCCAGGTACAACAGCGGTTTGATGAGAGGGCAGAGGTTGCGGTGTATCGCATGGGCTCTGGGTGGCGTCGGATGGAAAGTCATCTTCATACATGCTCAAGTTTCTTGAGCGCAAGCGTCACTGGGTGCCCGGAAGTGGAGATGATTCTGGCATTTCTGGATGCCCGACATGTCACCAGCCTGTCGGCATCTTTTGCAGCTGGGCGAAAATGCCGAAATGGCGTTCATATTCTGGTCAGATTGGGATTGGGGGACTTGAGTGGGACACAAAATTGAGTTTGTACTAGAAAGAGAGTGTGTAGTGTATATTCATATTGTTTGTAGCTGTCAACTAAGTAGTTTTCATGCATGGACCCCAAACAACAAAGGTTGTGCCGGGAAGACCGCCAGGTTCAGTCACCACATGCTACGGAAAACTGACCCGCAAGGACCAACAAGTCCATCGCTCTGATTTGTTTCAGGCAGATTTCTCAAAAAAAAATATTCACACATCGATTTAAGTTTCAATCCGATCTCTAGTTTTTGAATGACATGTTCCCCTCCGCAACCACTTGCCTCCTGCTCCCACATCTCACCAGACACCCCTCGCGTTCTTCCATCCACCCCTCGCACGGGGGTTTCTTCCCCTCTTTCCGCTCTCAGTCTTCCATGCTCTTCGGCTCTTTCTCCGGCTCGCTCGAAGACCGAGGCCTCCGCGTATCGGCACTGCTGGGCCGATGCCAAGTTGAGGGCGCCCAACCTGAAAGTCGCCTCCGTGCGCTCGGCCCCTCGGAGCTGAAAGAAGATCGATGCATTGCGGTGCTCAGGGGCCCTCGGAGGCTTCCCGTGAGGTCAAGCACGGCTGTTCCGATTGCGCTCGGTCGTAGCGGGTACCCGGTGGGGTTTGACCGGTGGGGTCATCGGGGAGCGGCCGGTCGCTGATGAGAGAGAGGTGTATATATACAGAGGTGTTGGAGGAGGACTTAAGCCTTAAGCGCTAGATTCTGGGTGGGACAATCCGAAAGACAACGGGGAACAACGTTTAAGAAGTTCGGAATTCTGATGGATGACTGCAGATACAGAAGCATAATGATACGCTGGTAATCTCCGTGGCATATTGGGGTTATTAGGATTAGATATAGGTGCAGTCAGAAATCGTTGAGATCTTGTTTTGAGGCGGAAGGATTTGTCCCCAGCAAATTGGTCATGTTTGTTCGCTTTGAGGAGGCTGCTCTCACCAAAAGCATCCCACCATCGCCGCCATCAGGCCACTCATCGCATTCTTCCATCCGCTGCAAAGACGTTGCTGGTGGATCCAAATCTGGGCTCACCCGTGTCCAGAGGCATTTCAGGTCACGTGACACGCGATAGTGGAGGAGTGCGGAGGGTGCATGGGTGGGTGAAGCGATAGGATCTTGTCTTACATCTGACACTGAGTGAGGTGAAGCGACTGTGGCTAAAAAATTGAAAAACGAGACGTCTCAATCTTTGAAACCATGGTTTTTTCTACCAGCACCGGAAGCCCTTCCCCAAAAAAGACTCATGTATCTCCATTGGATATGCCCCGAGGTTTGGACGTGATTGCATTCTCGAAGTGGCTCCAGAAAGCTCGAAGCATGAAGGAGATCACGATGAGCCTCGTTTTGATTGCATAAACCATGATAAACCATGACACGACCTCCATGGGACTGTAATTACATACATCGGGGTGGTTGAAAAGGGGTGAATATAACTGAATATAGGTAAATATGCCAGTCCCATGGAGTGTTTGGGATTTGTTTCTGTGGGTGAATCCCTTCTGGGGGAAGATTCTTGTTCCTGTGGGTGACCAAAGCTCCAAGTGACACTTAGGTCAGAAGTCACTCCTCCCACAGGTCAGTCAGAATAGGTCCCATCTCGTCTCTTCTTCGTCTCTTCCGGTAGCACCAAAACCGCTGCATGCGCAGAGTGAAACTGCCTGTTTCTGCCCTACTTGCGAGATCAGATGAGACTCTCTTCAATCAAACCTACAAAACCGCAGCTGGATTCGGTCACCCGCGATTCAGCAGATTTTAGGACCCAAACCACGATCCGGCCTGGGACATTGTCGTGTCTGAGTGAGTCCGGTCTGGCTTCGAGTGCTTTTTCAGTCGCGTGTGCGCCGGAAGTGAAATGGTTCTTCCCGTGCATGTCCATTCCAGTCCGATGTCATGTTATTTATATCCCCGTGAACAAAACCCGTTTAAGATTAGGGACCTACCCCTCGAATCTGCATGGGGTTTATTTATGATTGCAAAGACTTGAAAGGTCTTGAGGGAAAAGAAAAGCACATTTGCTTGTAGTTCTTGTGCCGCTTTTGCCGGTCTGAGGACAGGTGCCGATTGGGAACGGCTCGATCCAGGCCGCTGGAAATTCCAGGGTGTGGCAGAGAGAATTTCCAGGGTCTGGCCTCACACAGACTTGGATTATTTTAGATTATTTTAGGGCTTTTGCCAGCTTCTTGCTTCGTGCTTGGAATATGGTAATTATAGACATGCCCTGTAGATATACATATGCTTTTGGTTGGCTGAGCTTCCTTTTCTCTATGTAGTTGATCTAAAAATACAAAAACATGTGAGAATCCGCAAAGGAGGAGGTGCAGCCTACCAGCGGTCCGTTCCATCAACACTGCAGGTTCCGCAGTGCGCCAAGTGCAACGAAGCGCCAACGAAGCAACGAAGCAATTCCCAGACACGACCAATACTAGAGGAATATTTAGCCACTTCCAGGGGGATCCAACCCCATAGTGAGTAGTAGACCGGGGATCATACATTGGGATGGTTGAAACGTGTTGAAAAGGGGTTCCATCCCATGTAGGATGGTCAATATGCCAGTCCCATCGGTCGTGGACGGACTGGTGTTTTTCGAGCCGAGTTTGAGAAATCCATGAACATCCTATACTACCCCCCATGTCCATGAACAGATTATCGGTTGTTTAATGTTGGCTTCTAGCATGTCATCGCGTCGTCCCAGAACCCCCTCAGGCATCAAGTATTTGACCTCCAACCTACCGATGCAACAGCTGCGTCTGCTGGATCTCTCTCACAACGGCCTCACCGATGTGAGTGCTGAGAACTTGGCCAAGGCCCTCAGCAGGTGCCGCGGATGTGGGATGAGGGGGAACGTTGGCGCCGATGTGGGGGCCACAGAGATTTGGTGCGAATGGTGTGAAACGGGGTGAACTTCCGTGTTCCGAAAAGTGGATTGATTGAGGCGGGTTTCAAGTGGATTCAAGTAGATGATCGTCCAGAAAGAGGCTTTTAGAATTGTTTGGGTATACTGGAGATGATTATGATGATGCCATAGCTTGAAATTATATTTGGTGCGATGTGTAGCCCAAAAAGGTGTGCTGTGGCAGTTCTTGGGAGGGAAAGGAAGCTAGTCATTAGGGTAAGATGTATCAGCCTGAAGCCCTCATGGCAAAGGTCAATCGTTACTCGCTTGAACTGTACACCACACGTGTTTTAATGTGCGTGTGTGTGGTTGCCATTCACTGTTTCCTGTGTTTTTTTCCCGGCCAGGCAATACAAATCTGTTGTTTTCAGCCAACCCTTGGCACTTGTTTTCAGTATAGCCCAGGCAGGACACCCCCTCTCTGACTCATTGGATGGGAATTCGAGCTCGCCGCGTCGCCGCCGCCGATCATCGTGCCGCCGATCAGTCGCAGCGTCAAGTTGGAAGTCTTGACATTGGAGCTGAACTTCATTTCAGAGCTCCTTGGCACAGCTTGAGGTGCACTATTGAGGTGCACAAGGACCGAACGCACAGGACGATGCAAGAAACATGATGACATGATGTTCTTCGCACATAGACATGGTTCGCATTGATATAAATATATATAATTTGCAGCAGAGAATTCCATAGGGGAGCTGAATTGAGGAGTTGGAAGCATCCGGTCTCTTCTTTTGGCGCTGTCTTGTGGGGACATGTTGCTAGATAGACTCTTGTTGGTTGAAAATGTCTATCGGCCCTTTTTGTCCGGTCGGTTTTACATTCCATGTCTGGCGTGATTCACATGAATCCATATCTGGAGCATAGGTGCTCTTCACCGCCCAGTTGACCGTCCGTTTGAGTTTGAGAAGCGCTCGATTTCAGGGGGCTTTTGGAAGGACCCAGCTTCCACCGCGAAGGGCTTCCACCGCATCCATCACTTTTCCAGGAACCACCCAAAATGCACCGGGCTGGAGTACGTTCTTCTGCGCCGAGTCCTTTCTCCGTCGCGGGGTCAAAGGCCTGGAGGACGATACCTTTTCCAAACCATGGGTTTGGTTGACATCCCTTATATAGACCCCCTTTCTTTCTATGAAGCCAAGGGCGATTCGCCTGCGACTTTTGCAGGTCTGAATTACTAATTACATGCAGTCTCAAGCGCTTCTCCATGGGTTTATAGACCCCCAAATAGATAGAACAGTAGATCCCCACTACACATGTATTGGTAACCACTATTCAGTTAGCCTTCCCTTTGCTTGGCCAGATTCTGGCCAACGGTGAGCATCTTCAGAGATCACTCTCAGATAGAACATCCGTGGAAAAAAAGGGGTTGATGAAAACACATGAAAACACACCCTGACAGTCATTCTGACACGACCTCCATGGGACTGGAAGTATTTACATACAAAAAGGGATGGTTGATAAGGACGGTTCCATGTAGGATGGTGCTTCTATGCCAGTCCCATCGCTTCGTGTTTGAGTCCCGGGCTCCCGAACCAGGACCCGGGGATCCCGGTGTTTTGCCCGTCCGAATCAGCTCCTGATGGTTCGGTCCACCAAGGCAGGGCTTCAAGGCGCTTCTCCGGTTGGGCATCTCGCAAGGGAATGGTGTCATGAGAAATCAATTGAACTTGTTGATTCATGGAATATCTTAATTGTTGGGAGAGTTGATGGAAGAATATCAATCCAAGCTTGATGAAATGACGATACGAGATGACGTTGAAGCGATTCAAACACTGTGAGTGATGATGACAACATGTGAGCAGCGTCAAAAACCTCTCACAAACCGGTAAAGCAACCGTGTAAACTCCAAGTTGCCCGCGAAAGCCAAAACTGCAGTCCTGGAAGCTCGCGGAAGCCACCGCGTAAGTATATATTGCGGAAGTGCATACTACTAAGGAGATCTACTAACCTACAAGCGCTTTTGAGAAATACGTCGCGTTTCAGTGCCGCGGTTTCGAGGATTTCAACCAAACATGGCCCGTGGAAGCCAAAGCGCAAGTCGCGCAAGCATGGGCAGAAGCACGTCATGAGTATAACAGATCGTAGACCGGTTTTTGACACTGCTCATGTGACATGAAGTATGGTAAGCTTGGTAAGATTGGAGAAAATGTAATTGAAATTAATTGAATGAACAAAAAACTTTGTGTTGTTTGTTGGCCTCTTGGCTTGTCGGTCGAGGACATTCCCTTGTTTGGGATGAAGAATCTAAGGAGCTGGACGAGTCCATAGTTGGGGGTTTCGACATAACCAGCTGGGAGACGAGTCTTGCAAAGTCCTGGCTCCGCTCTCAGTTATTGGAAGGCATTGGAAGCTCACAGGGTTCTTGAGTGTGTTCTTGGTATTCCAAACAAGAATTCCATGGAAGAGCCTGGATTGCTGCGGTTGAATGAGATTACATGAAACAGAGAGAGAGAGAGAGACACTGGGATTTCTGTGCCATGAAGCTGTGCCCAAGGCCAAAACATTCGATCCGGAGATCACCACCCTGAACAAACGTCGCCTGGAAGCTTGGCAGCCCTGCGGATGCCGCTTTAGAAGTGATGGAAGGCTATTGTGGTTTGCCTGAAATACTCAGTGATCGGCGTTCAAGGAAGATCCACATGTATAACGCGACGCAGACTGCCTGTGTCCCCCCCCCACAGCCGTAGCAGTGGCAGCTTTCCTGTTGTTTTTCATGTATACCGCTACCGTTGTATTCCAGCCAAGAGTTTCAGAGTAGCCATTAGTGCAACCCATTGCATGCATGTTGATCCTCTCAAACTGATGCTTGCCTCTAAGTGCTGAGGTTCCCAAAATACCGTGCCTTTGGGGTGGACAGGGCCAACAACCGTGCATTCTGGACCACCAAACAGTCCTTGGACTCACAGAATCGTAGGGAGGTGTGATCCGAATCAGTTCACTTGTTCTGAATTGGTGGGTGAAATCAGACCGTGCGGCCCCACTTACTTTTTTGTTATCTCTCTCTCTCTCTCGTCACGCCTAAGGAGACCTGGGACTTGCGGACCAATCAAATCAGTGGAGAAGGCTGCAAGTGGTTGGCATCCATGATTGGAGACTTGCCAGTATGCCAAGCATGACCAGATGCCAAGCATGTTGCATCGAAGTCCGATTCTTGAAGACTTGTTTTTCGAGAAAAGAAAGATGCTCTCAAGGTCAGCCCCATGGTCAGTCCCAGATCATTCATCATCCTCAAAGTCATCATCAGCATCATCTCCTGTTCTATCCATTCGACATCAGTTTATATATATATATGCATTATTACTATTATAATTCAAATTATAATGCTGATGATATATACTGAGTTGTATTGATGTAATTACACTAGTCCACCTTTCCACTGCTTAAAGTCTCGCAAACAATACCACACTATGCCATGTGTTTTCAAGGACACATGGTGGTAGCGCGCTTGGGCTGCAATCCACTTGGCGATCATGGTGGAGAACAGTTGGCGAGACTCGTTGGAAAGTGATCTACTACTGTGCTGATTTGATGTGGACATATTCGACATACATCTCATGCACCCTCATGGGTTGCTTCCTGATACTTGATATATGTTATGATATGTTTGATGTTTGCTTCCTTATTGACCTCACTGAACGGCTTGTGGAGCAGACCATGGAGAGCTCATGGAACTGCAGGTGCGGGGAACAAGAAAACGACAGCAACAATAAAATGATTCGAGGACCAACAAAAGTCAGCTGGTGCTTCCATTTACAAGAACCCAGATATGGAGACATACCCCAAATAACTCACAGCATTGATGGTTCATGATGGTTCAAAGGATGACACATCTACTTTGTGAAGCATCCTCGTGCTGGGGACCTCGCCCCAATTTGTTCGGATCGGGCTCATCACTGCCGTCACTTGTGCTGGAGAAGGCTTCCTTTGCTCTCCGAACTGCTCATCGTAAACTCGCAGATCACAGACACTCACTGGACATGTTGGCAATCTTCAGTACCATGGTACTTCCAACTCCAGTTTTTTCCGCCCTTTTGTGCCTCACCCAACCAGGAACAACAAGTATATTCACGCCACGCCCGGCCACGATCGACGCACCGATGTTTTCGAGGAATGGCTTGGGCCCCCAGCTCCGAGTCTTAGATCTGCGACAAGCGCAGCTCCTTGGGCGCAGCGAGCTCCACGGGTTGGTTCGGGGTACTCGGAACCCAGCGGGCGCGCCCCGGTTCCCGGCAACTGGACGGGCGGCGCTATGAAAGTCTTGTTTGGGCCTCCATGTTTGCATCGTGTGTTGTGAGGGAGCAGTGGAACACCCATGAGAAACCAAGGATTTACAGTGGTTTCACAGCTTCGATGGCACTGGCACCCGAGGATGTCCTGTCGACAGATGGGGGTCCAGTAGATTGCACCACATTGGAACACCTCTCGGGGTCTGTGGTCCTTTCAATCCATCCCAAACACGACCCTCCCTGGGACCCCTTTCAACCATCCCAATGTAAATACTTTCAGTCCCATTAGTCGGTCGGTCGTGTCTGGCCCAAGAGACACCGAACCAACCGAAAACGCCCGGTCCGCACGACGCACCGTACGACTCGGTCGTTCCATCCTTCCGGTCCAGTGCGTTTCCGTACGTCTCGTGGTCCGGTCGTCAGGCTGGGTGAAGCGGCGAGCTTGGCTTTAGGCCGAAGGCTCCGGGAGGCGCGCCATCTCGAGGAGACCGGACCGTGGTGGACGTGCCAGGATGACGTTGACATCCGGAAAGGAAAGTGGGTTTGGAATATGCTTGGTTCGCTCGAATTGACCAAGACAGAAATCAGGGATGTCAGAATTCGATGCTTTCAGTCTCACGACTATCGATCAGGCCAAGGGGTGGTTGAAACGGGGGGTCCATGGGGCGGCAGTCCTATGGCAGTCCCAGACAGGTCGTGTCCGGGAGTGGTTCCTAAGATGCGATCATGACCAAAAAAAAGACCGTTGCGATCTCCTGGACGTTGTGGAGGAGTGGTTGGAAGGGGTTGGAAGGTGTTTCTGGGTAGAAGCGGTGGACGTGCCATGGGTTGCCCATGGATCCACTCGGAATGGCACGTTCGCTACATCACATGATGAGATCCCACATGTTGTTCATGGATCGACTCACTATAGCTTACCGGTCCAAGACAGAACTTTAGAACGTTTAAGCTGTTGATTCTGTGTAATTACCCGTAGATTTTACTCTGTTCTGCGTACTTCTCCAAAAACCACTGGGAACCATGGTGCAATGTTCCAGCACTTATGACGCCCTAAGATAGGTATTTCACGCTTGGATTGACACTCCGCAGGAGTTGCTGCTATCAGGAAACGAGATAGGACCTGCCGGTGGCTTGGCTGGCCCGGATTATTTTGGCAAATGTGATTGTTTTTCGGTACAATTTGTATACATACAGAGCAGACTGCTCGGTGGAAACTCGCGTGAAAATTCTGAGGATTTCTTGGAGATTGAAACCTGGGATCACTTACAGTGGTTTCAGAGGTTCGATGGCACAGACCCCATGATGTCCGGACGACAGATGGGGGGTCCAGTAGATTGCACCACCTCTCCATTGGGGTCTGTGCCATTGGTCCTCTCAATCCACTATAAGGACCACGACCCGAGGGGACTGGCACCATTAGTTGGTCGTGTCCACTATAAGGACATGTTTTTTGGGTGCCACCCTAAGAATCCGGGCCCTCAAACACATAGGGTTTGGTTAGGGTCCAGACCCCTGCGAAGGTGTCGGGTCCGACCCCCATGGAGAGCCCGGACTCGGATTCTTAGGGCAGTCCATCTAACTCTGAAACCACTCCCAAGAGATGGATACAAAGCGGTCCAAGAATCGGCATTTTGGATGGACTCGACGCAATCCGGACCAAACAGGGGGGCACCATCCACTTCCACCATGATGATTTCAGAGGCTTTGTATTATACTACTACCAGGATCATAAAAATACCAAAGACTCAGTATAACATGAATACCGAATACCAGGGGGGCACTGCCGTTGCAAGGTGCTCGGTATGTCTGCCTCTTGGTCCACCCTGACCATCCAGGAACACACCAGTGCTGTCGTCGACCGATTCGATGACCGATCTCGGTTGGTTCGGCGCTGCGCCACGGAGTGGTCGTCCAACCTGGTCCACCAGTTGGTGATGAAAAAAACCAGCGCCGCAGTGGGGTGAAAGGAGACTCAACAAAAAACCAAAAAAAAACATATAAAACATCCAAAACAAGTGCCATTGCGTCCAACGGGCTTGATCATGCTTATATTATATATATATGTTTTTCCTGGAAGCAGCCGTCGTTTTGCCCTCGTTTTATAGGAACATGTTGTTTCATGCCATGAAGCGGAAAACCACGTTGTTCGACGTGGACGATGAAACCACCTATCCGAACGAACGAAGGATCCGCGGGCCCAGTATCCATGAGCAAGAACTACTCTCCAGGTATTGCCTTTGACAATCGTTTGACCCCCGTTCTGATAGGTAAAGGGCCATCTATGGTTGGCAGTCCAAAACAGAGGTCGTTCTAGGAACGTTGTGCTTTTGGCATTGAAACTGGTCGACTTGCACTGCCAAACCTAAACTCCTCTGGCAAGTAAGTCATGTCACCCTCTATTATCTCTCAAGATTTCCGGGTGCTGAAGGTGACAAACAATTGTTCATGTCGATGCTGTTAGACTGGCAGTTGTCTCAGTTGTTTTACTGCATGTTTGCACCAAATCTATGACTTTCATGGCAATCTGCAGTTTCAATTGCGTTTCGCCAGTTTCGCTTGGACCCAGCGATGGTTTCTTGTTCGTCCCTTCTAAACCGCTTGAGATCGACGCCTTGTTTCAGGTGTGCAAGCACTGGCAGAAGGCAGCTCCCGGTGTTCGGTCTTCGATCCGAGGGCCCCCGTGGCTCTTCCATTTGGAGGGTTTACATCGCAGCAATTCTGGTGCCTCAAGACCCAGAGACTCCATGTTGTTTGTCATGCCATTGACCCCTCAAACCACCACCACCCCATGTAACATGGAGTGTTTGGGATTGATGAGGCACTTGAGGATGTTTTGTGGTTTTAGGCGTAAACAAAAAGCTGTCTTTTATTTTTGGTTGGCGTCTTCGTCCAAGATTCATTTGCTTTTACATGTTTTCAAGCAGTTGTGGAATGCTGGCCCGCCAGGCCAGCTGGTGAACAAAAACACAAGCGGGATTCAGGTCACATATTCCCATGGATTCCCATAGCATATCACGGGTTGAAAACGAACGGGCCACGACTCCGCAACGAGTGCCCTTCACATCTCATCTCATGCAAAGTTAGATGAAAGAGGGCGTGGCCAGCATTGTTGCATCCATAGATTTAGAACGATTGGACATCATTAGACATAATATATAGATATAGTTATATTATAGATTCAACTGTCACACTCAGATTGATTCAACTTCCTTTTCGACCCTGAAAACAACACCTCACCAAGCATGAGACGGCAAAAGAGCCAAAATTCAGAGGCTTGGCTCGGATTTCCAACCGTCATGGAGAGTTGAATGCTGTAGATTTAGACATCAGGGATGTCGTGGGACATCACGTGGTGTCATGTTTCATATGCGTGGGATTCGGACCATGGACCATTCTTCATTCTCCGTGGTTTTCAGGGCGCCTGAAAAAGATGGCCTTTTTCATCCTTTGTTTTTAAATGGTTGTTTTCCACTTACTAAACAACCCAGCCCAACTTAGTAATCCAATCTCTGGAGGATTTCATGGCAGATCTGCATGCCCGCACCATCCCCCACCTATCCAACTAATCATGGTTACATGGATGGCAGGGCCCCTAGATGGTTTGCTTCCATGTTTGTTGGAGGGTATCCCTATCAACTAGTACCCCAGTTCTAGAAACCCCAACAAACATGACGATTCCGAGTTTTCCCTCGTTTTTGGTCAGGTTGGGCTTGGATCTCCTCGCTTCGGCTGGTGGATTTGTCGGGCAATCCACGGATCGGAAGCGAGGGTGTGGATCTTCTAGTGGACGAGCTACCATTTTGGCAGCAGGCGAGGCGCACACCCTTCGGTCATCGGTTGGAGGCCAAGGCGAGGCGCCAAACACCCAAGGTCTCGGTGTTTTTGAGTGCTTTTCCTGGGTCCAGTTCATCGGCAGGTAGGGGCCCCAGTAGGTGAGGTTTGGATCTCAGGGAATGGCGGTCATCCGAAGAGGCTGGGAAGTCTATGAGCGGGAGGGGTGGTTTGCTTTGTTGGAGGAGGAGCTTTTCTATCCCAGGTGATTGCATAGCAAGACATACTTCTCCAGCGCGGGCCCCGAAACCAAAGAAGTGGCCTTGAAGCTTTGCTTTAAAACTTATCCTGTTTGAACTCAATCATGGAAGTGGATAATAGGCCTTTGGAAGACAATTTTTCTCTACACACAGTGGGCCTTCCACTTCCATGTTACTGACTCAGAGGGTAAGCTCTTTTATGCTTTGCATGTAGTTTAGAATATTTTTTAAAATGAGTCCTTTGCCGTAGCCGTTCAGCGGCGACGAAAAACATTCGATCCACTGTGGGAGGCTCCCTTCCGCCTGGCGCTGGCCAGCATCGATTGTCCGGAGAAGAGCGCTAAGAAGTTGGCGAATGCCTTGCGAAAGAATCCACGACACAATCGTGAGTGGACCATTGAGACGCTGGGGCTGTGCTTTCAACACAATCAGATGTCCTTTTTGGATGCACCAGCCACATTTAGAGTACATGGCTTCCTAGTACCACTGCTGCTGCAACTGCTAAAGCCTTTGATTTTGGCTGTTTTTCTTGCACCATGGATAGCACGAAAAAGCAAACAGCTAGGGCTAGGGTGGCTCGCCAAACAAATCAGATACAATGAAACGACATGAGAATGAAGCGACGAAGGATCGGGTCCAGTCCGGTCCAGTCCAATGGTTGGAGCTTGGTTCTGGTTGGCATAGGGCATGGGCGCTCCGCTCGGGTATAGCCCGGTTCCCCGGTTCGCCTCGCTCCCCGTGTGACGCCGAGTCGTCCGGCCGTCGGTCCAGCCGCCAGACAGACGCGCGCGGCAGGTTGCAGAATAACCCTCTTCCAATGGCATCGATTCTGGAGATTCATCGACTCCTTGAGCCTCGAGAAGCGGCGAGTTGGTCACCGACCGGCTTTGGGCATTGACTCGACCCTTGGACCGGGTTGGTGGGGGTGTGATGGTGGGGTGTATGTTTGTGGGTGATGGTGGGTAGGTTGGGTAAGTTGCTTGAGTCGGTTGGTTTTCAACAACACGATGCATGAAAAGCTTCAGGTTGGCAACAGCTACTGATGGCTACTGGTAGTGCTGAGCTGGTGATGTGGTACTTGTGGTGCAGCGTTGAAGTTGATTAATCTCTGTCAGGCTGACAATTTCTGGCTTCCAGCTGTATACTAGGCCAGTAAACCTTGTTTTGCAGCGTAGTATGATCCTTAGCTTGACCCATTTTGTCCAGAGGGCAATTGTTTGCTTTTGCTAGGAGGTCTTTATATACTGTAATTTGTGCCCTAACTTGCAACCCAGAACACGCGAGCCTGCAAGCAAGTTTTTTTGCAAGGAGAGGCATTCATTGCGCTATTGGGTACGCATGGATTTTCGCTGTTGGTAGTCCGGATGTACAGTGGGTAGTCGCCAACAGATGATTTATCGAATTCTGTAGTTAGATGCAAGTGGAGGTTCTGTGAAGCAGAAACCTTCAGATCCAAACCAGACCACCTATGTTCCTCAACCTTGTTGATGAGGATAAGGTGGAGGCCTTTCTGGGCGGGGTGAGGATCATGCTTGACATACCTTGGCATGCTTCTTTTTCATGGCACTGCACAAAGTTACGTGATGGGTGCCTGGCCGAAAAGGATCATTTGTGTGTGGACTTGCATATGTATTTTGGGTGGCAGTTTTGCATGTTGTGCCGTGAACAGTTTTTGCTCACTCAATCAACCCTAAACCCTAAAACCCTAACTAAACCCATTTGGTTTCTTTTGGTGGTCTCGGCTCTCAAGGGTTCAAGAACAGCACTGAATGTCCATGAGTCCATGAATTGATTTCTTTATTTGTGGCTCAAGATAGCGGCTCTGCGCAGCCGGGTTCCGGCTGTAGCATCAACCCCACCACCACCCTTTCGAACCGCGCGCCGGGTTCCGGGAAGAGAGAAGAACGCGTGAATTGCTTTGCTGGCCGTGGACGAGGTCAATCTTCGAGGCGCACACCTTTCGAACGAAAAACAACAAAAACATGCATGGGTGCTTCGGGTCCAGTGGGGCGGAGCAGACCCGGAGCAGACGCGGGAAGGTGATTTGCTGCTTCTTCGTGCGCGAACGTTGGTGGTCAGGAGCAAGCAGCCTGGTCGTACGGTCACTGGACGGATTTGGCATGCTTTGCAATTGCAGCAAGACAGGTGATTGTTGCGCGAGTTTGATGCTAAGATTCACACACAAACAAGACAGATGCTTCGGCTGCGAAGTGTCCAAAAGATTGGAGCATCCTCTCAAAGAAATGATGTTGTTTTGCAGTTGCATCTCGTGGGAGGTAGGATAGTACGTCCCATCGATAAGAGAAGCGTATAGATTCAAGTGTGCGTGCCTGCATAGACTGACCGTGGTATAGTACCAAGTTTGGGTTTGGTGACGGAACATTTGTCTAGGTGGACCACCAAGTGCTTTTTGTCTTTTGCTGCAGAGCTACGGGGGTTCCCCCACTCCCTTTGCAACTTAGATTCCCCCAAACAAACATCAGCTCGCCTTACTTGGCTTCCAAAAAGCCAATCACTTACTGCTTACTCCATTGTCTCAGCGACTGGCTTTGTTTGACTTGGCTGGGTCCCCAAAATTACTACCGAGTCGAGTTCGACCTCGCCGCAGGCATTATGGACCTCGGCTCGTCGGGTGCTTCACAGGCAGATGTCAGCGCCTCAGAGGAAAAATGCGTGGGAAGATGCGCGAGGAACCAAATCACGCAAAGGACAGAGCAAAAGGGTATGTGAGTGCCGGGTTCATTGAGAAGAAGGTAAAGGTAAAAACACCGGCTTTGTCAGGTTTAAGTCAGTTTTCTGTGCCTGTGATCGATATTCTGTGCTACTGATCGATATTGACGTACTTGTGCAAAGAGAGTTTTTGTCCACCTGGTCTTCACTCCTCTTTCCAAAACCGCCCCTCCAATGACATTGCCCACCACAGACACACGGATGTAGTCGGCCGCGGCACCGGAACAGATGGAGAGAGCAGCTGGTATACTTCAGATGCAGCAGGTCATTCAGGCCGCATGGATGGCCGTCATTCAGCTCTTTGGTTGATTCATGGGAAGGGGATATTCCCCAGTGAACAATCAAGAGGTACAGTAGTTATATATATATATGATTTTGCATCAACCCCTCTATTTTGTTCAACAAAGGATCATCATGGCTCAGGCGGTTTCCAGAGCAGTTTGGTGAGGATGGTGAAGTTCCAACAAACACATCGCACGGCCGCACACGGTACAGCACGTTGCACGGTTTGGTAGCTCCTTCTTTGGTTCTGGCCTGCAAGAATAGGACCAGGGCATTAGGCATATAGGTCCTTCCTCATGTTCAATGTTCACCTTTGAGAGGAGAAATACATTGTAAGATCGCACCCGCTTGGGGTTTTGCGATGGTGAATTGAGCTGTCAGGGCCAGAAGGCAACCATGAAGATCTTGGGGCATTGTTTTGAAAGGCCAATGCTGACATTCGGTCTTTGTTTCACGCGCAAACTGATTTGGAAGCAGACAAGAAATGCATACACATAGTACAGGAGGCTGATTGGAGCTTTCATTCTATTGATTTGCAAGCCTTGTGATGGTTGCATATGATGATGGAAGTTGCTTTTCAGTGAACGTGTCCAATCACAATGATTCGTTTGATTTCTGGACACGCTGATTGGCTGTAGATTCAGCAGTTTGAAGGCAGACAGTAGATTTGTTGTGGCATTGTTCTTGTGTTTTGTGTGCACAACACCAGCTGGCATTTTGCCAGGTGTGTTGACACTCCAGAAGATTCACTAGCTTACAAGGACCTTGGGTGGGGAAAGGCTTTGTTGACTGTATCGTCCCCACCTTCATTGTTTGTCATCCTTATCAAGGCGACCAGTTGAGCATTTGCATTTACACCGCTGATCCAAACATCCTACCGAGCCTACTGCTACCAACACGCCAGGATCAGCAGTGCATCTGGAATTGCACGCAACGGCTCTTCGACAGTGAGCAGTGTGGAGCTCAGTGAGAGATCCAGACACCTTATAATTAGAGGTGATTTGGGAATGTCAACCAAACACGCTTAAACATAGTGTGAAGAATCTGGAATTCAACAAATAAGAATAAGAAGAACCACTATTGAAGTTCAAGGGCAGCACAAGTGTGACTTGACAATTGTTTAAACTGAATGATGACCACTGTGCAGCCTCACTCTGATGGAGGAGGAGACATTTGCCTGAGATCCAGCCAAGGTTCATGGTGAAGCGGCTAAACGCTGCGCAAAAAGCAAAGAGTGGAGGTTTGTAGCGCGCTGTAAATGACTCCATTGGTAGCAAGGTGGGACTGGTCATTTTGACCAAGCAGAGATAGGCTGGCTGAAAAGGCGGCCAAGTACAGGCGAGTGTTGCAAAGAGAAAAAGACATGAAAAAGGTCCAGGTATAATATACAGTAGATTGTAGAGCTTCGCACACCGGCGATGCCATCAGTCCTTGTTGCTATTGTTGGTGGGTGAGCAAAACATTGCACAAAACGATCAACAACTACTTGACTCCAGCAGCATCGAGGACCGTTGTCCACTGTCTTGCGCATCAGACGACGTGCCGTGCCATGGGTGGTTCTTCTCTTGTGGTCGTACCACCATTTAGCTTGACTTCA